TTCTCTCTCGACTACTGCATGCCATAAAAATAATAAAACAAAATGAAAGCCAGTCAGTCACACGCTTTTTATGATTAAGCGAATGTATTTCGGTCTGAGGTTTTGGCATATCAATAATTATCACCTGAGAGGCGTAGCCATGGGTCTATAAATAGACCCAACTATATATTGCGCATATTAGCTTTAATTACCGCTTCTCCTCTGTGGGCAGGTTTTGTGGCGTCGTGGATGCCCTCTCTGGCAATGTCACTCTAGCTACGACAGCAGCAGCTAATATACCCGCCCTGGTACCCAGCCATAGCTGCGCTAACTGGACGACAGCGCCAGAGGCTGCGGATGGGAACTGCACGAGGCTGACGCGCAATGGACTGATCAGATGCTATGGCGGCATGAACAATGTGGGAGCACTAAAGTAGGGAAATATACTAAGAGATCTATAGATCTAATTTACCTCTAATTATCTTTACTCACAGCTCGAAGCTGGGCAAAGTTGTGCAGGCACAACAGATGCTATTATGCGGCTGGCCCCGGGAGTCCTTCAATCCTCTGCGGGAGCTGCAAAAGTTTTCCCAGCTGCGCTCCCTGACCATCGAGTACAGCGGCTTCACGGAGTTCAACATCGATTTCCCGGATATGTATCATCTGCAGGTGATAAAAGTCTCGCCAGCTATGAGTCTTGAGGAATTAATTGAGATTATATTGCAGGCCATAAACATTTCATGGACGAATCTCTCGTATATTTCGACGCGCACCTTTAAGCGCATTCATGCGCTGCAAATCTTAGATCTGCGCTGGAATCAGCTCATCCAACTGGATGGCCCACTGATGCTGCCCCACTCCTTCCAGCAGCTCTACCTGGCCGGCAATCCGTGGAACTGCACGCGCAACTTCAAGTGGCTGCTGCTCCAGCCAGAGAAGGGTCGCCTCGTAGTGGACCGCGAGGAGATCATCTGCGCCGACCGCAAGTACAAAGAGCGACAAATGCTGCTGGTCATGCACTACAAGGTGGTGAGTAGAGGGAGCGAGAGTTAGATTAATACTAAAATTGACTAAAATGGAAATG